CCTTGGCATAAGTCATCCATTTGTATCTTTAAAAAAAAAAGTAGATAAATAAATTATAAAGTATTTGTTTTGTATCCAATCCACCTTAAAAAATAATACTCGACATACTCTCCTCCATCTACTTGTAATCTTGGAAGGTTTCAGATGCATACCTAAAGTGGAAGCAAATTAGTGATGTGTTTTTTTTCCAAATCTATAGTTGATAAAAAAATTAAAAAAAAAAAAAAAAATCTATCATACCATACACAAAGCATTGACCAACATAATTGCACTAGGCATACGATGTGTTCACAAAATTGAAGTTTTTCTTGAAATACCCTTGTCAGCCATAAAAAAATAATAATAAGAAAAAAACACCATTGTCAAATGCTTGTTTAAGCATCACAGCTGAACGAAGAGGTTCCTGCAAAAAATATTGAAGTTTTTCACAAAATTCACATATTTATATTTTTATACGCAAAAGAGAATTGATTATTAACTTAAACACCAGCACCCTCTTTATATTGACCACTTGTTTCAAACATTTCAACCTACCAAAGGCCACCACCATGTGTCATTTCCCTTCCTTGATGTCTCAATTTGCCAAAAGAAAGTAAACTTTTTAGATAAATAAAAAACTTAACTAAATAACATATACAAATTGTAAGTAATTACCAGGCATACTAAATAAGTGCTGAAGGCATTTTCCATGCAACATTGAGCATCTTTTAAATAGATAAGCACATCATTTCCTAAGGAGAATAAATAAGGACGAGTTTTAGGAACAGAGGGGTATTTCTGGAAATACACAAACAAGGTTACAGACTCATGGTAGGAACGGTAGGAAAGAAAAACAACATGTTGATTTATAACAGGTCATGTTAGGAATAATATCCTTCAACTGATGCAATTGAGAAAGGTTTAAGAGTTTATATTTACGGATAGTTATTCTATTATATAAATTTGTTTTTTTTTCAGAAAGAACCTCACCTACATCCTTTTAGGCTGAGCAAAAAGCCAAGATGCTGACCAGAAGAAGCATTAGACATCTGTCAAAAAAATCCATGTCATTCAAGTTTCACTTTATTACATGCAATAATGAAATTCACACGTATATATTCAATCCTTTTTACATCATAATAAAGTTGATATTTAAGGAGTGAAAAAACCACTCTGGTGATCCATCTTGGTTGTCGTGGACCAAAAAAAAATGGAATCTTTGGATCCATTGCACCATAATTAAGAAGCAGGAGTAACTGGTTCATGTTATAAAAGATCCACATACTTATTAATAAGATCTGTGTCATTTGAAATAAACAACCAAAAGGTCTGCACATTCATTATAGTTAAAGCCATGTAATTTAAATTGGAGAATAAGCAACAATGCACTTTAAAAACTTATATGTAATAGATGATCAAAGGCTCCATGGTCTGCAAAGGATACATTGCGTACAAATTCTTTATTGAAAAATTAGAACCGTGTTGATACAAAATCAGGTTGAGAAGCTGCAGAGCAAGTAACTAAAAATAATTTTAAAATGATAAAATCTAAACTCTTAGAATTATGTGTAAAAACTTACAGATGGGTATAGTTTCTACTTCTATATATAGGTGATGGATGGCTCTAAGTAAAAGTTTGAATCCTCATTGTTTCCTACATCAGCAATAACCAGTTTTAAATCAAACAACTAATACTACAAGGGTAAATTGGCTAGTAAACAGGTTACCTAATAGGAAAGCATTGTAACATGTGATGAATGTTGTGAACAAGTAAAGAAAGAAATTTATACCTCAACATTTGGTTGTCGAACATCTGATGTATACAACATTTGCAATTTGAAGCCAATAAACAATATGGAAAGGCTTTTCATTATTACCCTATTAGACATTTTGCATGTATATTAAAATTAAGAAATTAACATGGGGAATCAATATGTGTTGATAAATGTGGCAGATTATGTGACCCTAATAACAACCGGTGGTGACAGTGTTGTCGTTAGCCAGAATTGGTTATTCACAAAAAGAGATTTGAGAAAGACATTCGTGATCTGATCTAATAAATTTGGTCGTTCATAAGAACACGTTCTGAAACAAGCGTACGAAACACGCTAAATCAGAGTTTACAGAGAAAAAATCAATAAAAAGATAGAGGAGAAAACCCTAATGAGACGATCAACAAAACTATCTAGTTTCCTTATGTTTTTAAGTTGCAATACAACTTGTGCAATTAGAAAACCAGAGTTTATTGAGAAAAAAAAACGCAACTATGCTTCGATTTTCCTTTTTATCCATACATACCGAGGAGATTACAACATCTGAAATACAGAAAACCCTAGAGAAGTAAAATAAAAGGGAAAAGAGAAAAATGATAAGAACGAAAACTTATAGATAACTTCTTAGGAATACCGACATGGTTGTGACTTATGAGTTGTGAGTGTCCTACGAAGGGTGGGGGTGCTTGTGTCTCCGGTGAGCTGAGTTACAGAGGTTGCGACGAGTCGTCTCCGACGGTGTTTGGAGAGCGGAGCGGGATGAGTGAAGTGAAGAAGGAAGAGTGGAGAACGTAACGTATATTTTATGCGCCGATACACCGACCCAAACCTTTTGCTTCCCAATTCCAACGGTCTTTTATAAAACCTTTCCAAAGATAGACAAAATTGCAAAAATGGTCCAGTGGTTGGCAAAATTATGTAACTTTGATCCAAAAAAGTTTGACGGTGTACCAGTGGTCCAATTTTGGATACTTTCTACGGTTTTGGTCCCTTTATTGTCATTTTTGTGTGGTTTTGATCCACACCCAACATAAAATGACCAATATGCCCTGAAATATTTCATTTTTAATTTATTTTATTAAATTTCCTATTATATTATTTAAAATAAAAAGAAAATTAAATTATCACCCACTATAACCCACCTCTCTCTCTCTCTCTCTCTCTCTCTCTCTCTCTCTCTCTCTCTCTCTCTCTTTCTCTTAATAACACCAAAATTGGTACTTGGTCTATCCTCTCCCTGTATTCTACAGATTCTCGAAAACCACCACCTACACCACCATTGCAGCCCCTTACTTGTGCAACACCACCCACCCCTAGCAAACTCCGGTGATGGTAGCTTGTGACCCAGATGAAAATTCCAATGATGCGACCCATCTACCACTGCCCCTTCGTCTTCTCCGATAGCTCAAAATGTTCATTTCCAGATCTACAAACTAGACCGTTACACACATCCAATACCTTAAAAAAAACCCAAACCAAAGAATAAAAAAACGCAAATCAGATAGGATCATCTTCTGGGTTTTCGATTTGCACCAAGAGGGGTAAGTTCAAATACATCTGGGCAATACAAAATCATCTGACCATCATCAAGGAGCATAAATTCTAGAATTCAGATATGTAAATAAAACTATGAATCGGACCTGTATATCGCCAAAACTAAGAATCTGATAGAAACAAGTTAGTGTTTTTCTCTCTAAGACTCTCGTAGTTGACATGTCTTTAAAGATTTTATACGAGGTTCAATTTTTGCTCTATCTAGCTAGGTAGAAGATTTTTCATTTCTCTGTACTTTTGATGAAACATTTGAGGTTCTTTTCAACCCCTTTCAAATCAATCACCCCCTGATTTTCTTATGTTTCAAGTCTTATAGGATTGAGAGGCATTTGGAAAAAATCGATGAACGGTGGTTTGGTGGTCAACAGTGAAGGTCATCTGGTTAACGGCGAGGAGGTGAGGGTGGGGGAGATGATGGTGGTTGGTGGCGAATAGTGGTTGAGAAAGACAATGGTGGTGAATGACGATGTCTTCATCTTCTATGGTGGTGGTGGTGGTGGTGGCTGAAACCCCTAATCATTGAAAAATGGAAGTGGTGGTATTTTGGTAGGGACAACACCAATCAGAAGGGTGGTTCTGGTGGGGAAATTTCATCCAGGTCTGAGGAAAGAAAGATGGGCGAGGATGGGATTAGTTGTTTGTAATGGATAGTGATGGCAGCCAATGGTGATGGTGGCGGACGGTGGTAGTTGTTGGTGGTTGCAGTCGGTGGTAATGGTGGCATCCATTAGGGGTGATATGTTTCTTCAGTGTGTGTGTGTGTGTGTGTGTTTCTTTTGTTGAGAGAGATGAGACAAATG